CCCCCCCGGGGGGGGGGAGATATAAAGCTGGGTATCACCCTGAACTCTCAGATCACCTCATGCAGTGGCCTCATGTAGATATTAAATAAGAGGGGCGAGAGAACCAAGCCCTGTGGCACCCCATGCAGTAGGAGCCATGGACTGGACCTCTCCCCTCCTACCAACACTGACTGGAACTGACCCTGGAGGATGGAGGAGAACCAGAACAACACAGTGCTGCCCACTGCCAACTCCTGAAGCCGGTCCAGAAGGATACCATGATTGATGGTATCGAAGGCTGCTGAGAGGTCAAGAAGAGCAAGGATGGAAGCACTGCCCGCATCCTGCTCCTGCCAGAGGTCATCCAATAGCGCGATCAATGCTGTCTCAGTCCCATATCCCGGCCTTAACCCTGACTGAAAGGGGTCCAGATTATCCGCTTCATCCAGAGCCCTTTGAAGCTGCTGTGTGACCACTTTCTCAACAACCTTCCCTAAAAAGGGGAGGCTGGAGACTGGACAAAAACTAACCAGATTAGTTGGGTTGAGTGATGGCCCCTTGAGGAGGGGGTGTACCACTGCCTCCTTAAGAGCCGGCAGGACCATCCCCTTCCTCAGGGAGGAATTAACCACTGCCCAGACCCAATTACATGTCCTCTCCTGGGCAGCCTTGACCAGCCAGGAGGGGCACAAAACTAACACAGAAGTGGCCAAACTAACAGTTACAAGAACCCTGTCCATGTCCTCAGGTTCAACGGGTTCGAACTCCTCCCAGATAACCATACAAGACTCAGCCCCCATAGCCCCCACTGGCCGTGCATCAAGGCTGGAATTCAATGCAGAGTGGATGTGAGCCACTTTACCTGCCAGATGCTCAGCATATTCCTCACAATGGCTCTGAAGATAGACCCCCAAATTACTCCCTCCAAGGAGGGTATAGGTCACCCAAAACAGGGCCTCTGGGCAGCTATTTGCAGATGCAATAAGGGCAGAGAAATAATTACGTTTTGCCGCCTTTACTGCCATGAGGTAGGCTCTAATCATGGCTCTAGCTTGTTTTGAACTCAGAACAGGCGTTATGATGCTTGAAATGCATATCCCCAATATTCTGTATTAATGAATGAGAACAATTAAAAAGTACAAGTGTTTTCCTAAGGTGTATATGTGACAGAAGGTAGACATCATCTGCTATCCTGTCATGTAATTTTCTAGACATGCAAACTGCACTGTGCTGATCAGCTGAGCCTGGAAAAGAGCTGAGAGAGGAAAAAAACCAGATAAGGTTTGTCACATATACAGTCTCTGTCACGGGGAAGGAAGCTAAAAATGGGCTAACAACCTGGTAGAAGGCTACTGGGGTTGGAGTGAGAGGAAAGGAGAAAATGGCTTCCAGGCAAAACTGGACTTAGGCAGCCTTAGCTGCTCGAGATTCCTGGATGATTCAAGATCATCAAAGAGGAGGTGGCACAGAGATTATTATGCTGGGAAGAGAATAGCACAGCATAGGATCTGGGTATCTGGTGCAGATGCCTAGAAGGAGAAGACACTAAACAGAAGATCAAGTTTGTACTAATCATGAAAATTTGCCAGCTGAGTTTTAATTAAAGTCTTTCATTAATTCTTTGGGGAAATTAGAAGTGACTACCTTTTAGGATAGGCACACTGATATATTAGCAAAAGCAACACTGTTATTGGCAGAGAGACAGTTAATCTCAGAACAATAAAACAATTAGGTCCTAAAACAATATATCATACTGCTTTGAAGGCAGAAGAAAAAAAATGGAGGGGGAACTGAGTTCTGTTTATATGCATTAAATGAATATGGATGCATAATTATCTGACTGAAAGAGTCAATCTTGCAGAGTCTAATATCTTCCTATCATTGATTATGCTATGAATAAGGACCCGATGTGTTGTCTTTTGTCTGACTGATCCTAAGAATTCCTTATAGCATATGTAACAGTTTGGAGAAACAAGAGCAAGGAGAAAGCTATTTTGAGAGCTACATTCTGAAAGTTCAGGGAAAATGTGACACACACACAAACTGAGTACATGTTTGTAATCATAAGGTTTGGGATTTGTTAAAATGGAAGTATACATAAAAGGGAAACACTAGGGGTAATAGAAGTATGAGTGGAACCTGACACAGAGAACCTGTTTGAGATTCTCATCAGGGTTATTTTTTTTAAAGTATTACAGTTCTTCCAGAAACAGGTATGTATAAACCTCATAAAGTCTGCTTTGGGATATAGAAATCACTTCAATATTCTTTTGAATTTTATACAAATCCTGCAAAACATACAAAAATATATGTAAAAAGCAGTGCATAAACTGTGTTTCTCACCCCATGGAAGCAATAAGATCCGCTAAGGAATTCTTTAATGAGCTGATCGTCTGTCAGCTTGGAAATGTGTGTTGTTCCAACTGTTAAGAGTTGGGAGGTCCCAACAGCAACTGGTTTGTGGAAGGAGGAAAATTTTTCTTCTTTTGCTGAATTAATTTCTTCCTGCAAATTAAAAAAATACTGAGATTTAAATACTATTTATGTTTCCTTACCATGTACATTAAGATTAATGTCAGAGGAGCATGCTCCCTAGTCTGCATCAAAAAACACCCACAACATGCTGCACCCACAGTATAGCCTAAGATACAAAAAATATTAATTTCAGTTGTCAAATTATAAATGCAAGGAAAAAATGTAAAACATGCAATGTACTAAACCTGAATGTGTTCTTTAATCTAACGCTTTCCAGATATGTTGGATTACAACTTCTGTTATATCCAGGCAACAAAGCCACGGCTGCTCTCATGTAATGATACTAATAAGTGTCAATCTCACAATCTCCCCTGCTTCTTTATACTAATTTAATGCATATAAACAGGAAAGATAACTTTGGTTTTGTTTGAGAGGTATATAAGAGCATGCATGGCATAGATAATATAGCTACAAAGAAGCCTTCTCCCTCTTTGACAATATTAGGTCATCCACTGAAATTAAATGCAGGGAGATTCAGGACTGACTTAAAAGGGGATTGGATAGTTCATGAGGATCAGTGGCTGCTAATTAATAGTTAGCAAGGATGGTTCTGGATTGTTCCCTCTAGATTAATTATTGTACTTTTCTTGATTAATTGTTTTCATATATTGTTTTTGTTGTTGTTTGCCACCCAAAGTAGTCTGGAGTTGAACGGCCTTTGAAATATTTTAAAAAATAGTGTTTACGCATATAGTAACAAAAAAGCCAGGTATGAGAGTGGGTGGTTGCAATCTATGCCCCAAATACAACATCAAAGCCTGCGTTTCCAGTTTCGGACCTCCTTGGGTCTTCTAAATGGCATCTTCATCATTTCTTGCTGCTGTTCTAGATGTTCCAATTTATGGGGTTTAAGTGGTGATCCTGGCAGTGACTGGCAAAATATGTCATTCACAGGGGAAGCTCTGAACCTATCCAAAGAACAAGAAAAGTTTATACAGCTTTTTTCAATAAAATCACGTTATGCAATGGCTCAACAAAAACTATAATGCCATACTCAGATAAAGTATAAAAATAATGCATCTAAGGCCATCCAGAGTATTTTGTGCTGATGTGGAATTTTAGTATAATGCTATAGGTACATAAGATTCCTACTGGTATCTATGAAATGGCATATATCTGTGATCTGCTGCCACAGGAAAATATCATACAGGAATCACGTTTTAAAAAATAGCCTGGGGTGTGATTTTTAAAAAGCTAAAATGTATCTGCCCTGTCTGGTGAAGTCCACTGACCTCTCTTTAGCTATGCCTAGCAAAAGTGAGGCAAGCAAATTTCCGTGGGCACCATAACATTCTCTTGGATATAAGACATGCCAGTACTAAGCAGTCATGGAGCAGAAAGAGGAAAAAGTAGCAGAGAAATAATGTGCCATGGATAAGTGATCCTATATTTTATGGAGTGGAAAAAAGGAGAGAACTTGCCTTGGGTACTTCATTTTATAGGAGCCACTACTAAGTAAAACTCAGCTAAAGCAACAATCTGAAAATTCTACTAAGAGCTAATGATAAAGTGCCTTTAAAAAAGAGAGTTATAGAATATTATACTTGGATTCTGGCCTACAATGTTAGCTGTTATCTCAATTTCTTACCTATATTTAGGATGGTTGCATAACAAAGGTGTCAAAATAACTACTTCATATTCACAAGTAGTGACTTCAGCCACGGAAAGTATCTCGTGTTTTGCTTCTGGGTGGCAGACGTACATTACTGAGCTTGATCTGGGAAGGTTTTGTCTCAGACTACAAGGTGTGCCATTTCCCATTCCTATAGGAAAATATGGGGTCATCTGCCCTTCTATATTTTTTGTCGGAATCTAGATTTGTAAAATATAGAGAGAAATATCAGCATTAGCTTTGAAAATGATACAAATATTCTTTCACCTTACAGGAAACCAATTGATCTGAAAATTACTGACTCTGTCAAAAGGACTAAGAAAGTATTTACTTATTAATAACTTTTTTGACATTGCCTTCTCGAATGAGGCTCCTATCCTGTTGGTGTTCTGGAAGACCAAAAAGACCTGGCTGTTTCTCCAGGCCTTGGGCTAGGCTGGCTGGAGCCCCACTGGATGTTGGAGGTGGTGAGATGTTTTATCGTGTCTGCTGGAGTTCACCATCTTGTTCTTTCTTTTTCTTCTGGTCTACTTTGGTTTTGTTATTTGTTTTTTCTTATTACATTGTTTTTAATAACATCTGGTATATCGTGAGCCGCCGAGAGTCATTTGGAATGGGTGGCATCAAATTGAATAGAACAAATAAATAAAATTGCATTCGTCACTATTATTGTGTATCTAATGCCGCAAGAAAAGCAAGTATGCGTCAACCACCATAAAAAGTGGAACTAAGAAATTTAAGAGCAGATATTAATTACTAAGTAAAGTTGGCCATGGGGGAAGTAAAATTCCAAATTTCTCACTTGCCTCTTTTGCAGTGTCTTTTTCAATTCCCTTTTCTTCTTGATCTGGAAAATATGGCAAAACCCCGCCATATTATTTTCAGTAACCAATACCTGTGTTTTCATTTCTCTATAGCAGAAAACTAAATCTTTTGAAGTAGAGACTTTCTTTTACCACAGTTCTCATACTTGACTGGGTCTAACATAAAGTCAGTATGGAATAAGATGGTATAGCTATTCAAAAATAAGCTATGAGTTACTGGATCAATTCAAGGTCCTCAAGCCTATAATTATGGAAAAGTGCAAATGCATAAAGGGGCATTTTCAGAGAAATGTGAAATCAAAAAGAGGTACCTCGTGTTGGGCTTATTTTCCATCTGTGAGCTTAGCTGAAGGGAATATGGAATTCATTTATTATAATATAGTAGTGTGCAAAATGCTACACATTGCACTAACATACAGAAAACATCACACTGCTGTATTCTCATTATTATCAAAGTGTCTATTGTGGCGTAAGAAGAACTGCAGCCAATCCATCCACCTGATGTCTAATCTACTTTGGATCTTGGCTCAAATACATTCCTTAGGTGTGCTATTTGGATATAGTTCATGGGACCTGTAAATACATAGGTTTGATCAACACGTAATCTAAACCTCTAAATTTAGAGCAAGTGTTTTTGCTGTAATACTTGGTCTTTCAGTAACATGCCACACAGCACATAGTGAAATGCAATGTAAGTGCAGGACAAAAACTAAATTTAATGTAATTATTCTTAACATTAAATATAGGTGATACAATTTCTCTTCAGTCATGTACTTATTATTTTCTCTTTTCTGTCACACTGAAAAATACCATTTGGTAATAATTTCCGGGAAGTCTCTGGGGACCACAACCAAGCCTCTCAAAGATTCTGTATCTCCGTCTGTAGACTGAATTCAAACTTCATGACTAATGTATAGGTGTGAATGGACTCTCAGATGGGAAGCTGCCTGAGAGCACGTGCATCAGATCTGCTTATATTCTATATACTTTCCATACTTACATGAAAACAGTCTCTACTGAAGTCCTCAGCTTGCAAATAAAGTGAAGGAAAGCTTGTAAAGTGATTGATTATCCCATTTTGTTAGCTGCAGCTTGCTTCTATACAATACAATTATCCTTCATGCTATCATGTAATTAATTAACTAATTCTCTGTAAGTAAGGAATGAAGCAGCAACATAACATCAGTATATGATGAAATAAAAAAAGAGGTGATCAACAAAGTTTAACTACTACCATGTTTTCACTAAGAATTAGAGATGGTGTATTATTCTACTTCTATACAGTTTAAGCCTGTATTTTCTTTCATGAATAAATCATAATGACTATTTCTTTTCATTAGAGCTTAAAAGAGAAAGTAACCCACCTGGATCTAGCAGTGGGTTCTTTCTCAGCATATTTCCAAGATAGTATTCTTGAATATTTATTTTCTACAAACAACAGGAGAGACATTTTCATTTATTTTCATGACAACCACTTCTCCTCCAATGCTTCAATATTTGTTAAAGCAATAGGCTAGAAGGATCCAAAGTTCAGTACAAAAATGGTACTTTTAAGCTTTTTATTATATTTGAGGGTAAAATGATACATACCTGCCCAGTTTCCTTCTCTTCATGATACTGTCGAATATGTTTACCATGGCAAACTTCATAAGTCCAGTACGATTCAATCTAAAAATATATTCCATGAACAATCATGTATTATTCTAGTTTAGACAGCAAAAACATTAAGGATTTTGTAAATATTTGAGCTTTCTATATCAATATGTAATGTCGCCCAATTCTACTTAATATAGTGGGTTGGACTGTAAGACCTCCAAGGTCCCTTTCAACCCTATGATTCTATGATAACAAAGGAAGCCAAATGCTATGGAATTTGTGCTAATACAATGTCATTATCATCCCAGCAACAGGCTGATCAAATCAAATTCAAGACTTTGCAATAGGCCACCATCAGCAATTTGGATTGGATGGATATTTATGGTAAGATAAAGTAAACGATTTTAAAATCCACTTTATTAGATGTGCCATACTGAAAAAATGGAATAGATATAAACCCAGGCTGTGGCTGAAAATATCTTTATGGATCTCAGCACAAGAACCATTTTACATAAGAGAAACAACAGGCAAAAACAAATGGTTAATGTACTAGGAATTATTAGAGAATCATCCAGAGGAATATAAAATTAAATGAAGAGAGCAACTGATGGCGGAAAGATATAGTTGATAATGGTTTTCCCATTTACAGCTATCAGAAAAATTTAAAATGGATAAAAAGACTTTGGGTATGGAGCAAAGAAAGTCAGAATTTGAAGTGCAATTGTGTACAGATGATGAACATGTAATCGCTAAAATGTATAAACTTTTGTTGAAATTTGAAATGGAAGAACAAGAAGTTAAAAATGTATGATAAAGTGAGCTAAGAATGTTGGTTATAATATACAAATGGATCAATGGGAAAATATGTGGTCAAAAGGGTTGAAATTTGCATTATGTTATCAACTTAAAGAGAATTTTTAGAAAATGATATATTGTTCGTACATGATGCCAGAGAAATTATCTAGATTATATAAAGGCATTCCAAATGTATGTTGGAAATGTGAACAACATGAAGGGACATTCTATCATGCTTAGTGGACATGTAAAAAAGCTAAAAAAAATTGGATTCAAATACAAACATAGATACAGAGGATTTTAAAGATTAATATTCAACTGAAGACAGAACTCTTCCTTTTAGGAATGATGGATACACAGTTAGAAAGATTATATAAAGGCATTCCAAATGTATGTTGGAAATGTGAACAACATGAAGGGACATTCTATCATGCTTAGTGGACATGTAAAAAAGCTAAAAAAAATTGGATTCAAATACAAACATAGATACAGAGGATTTTAAAGATTAATATTCAACTGAAGACAGAACTCTTCCTTTTAGGAATGATGGATACACAGTTAGAAAAGAGTCATGGAAGATTATTTCAGTATATGATTACTGTGGCAAGACTATAATATGTACAAAGATGGAAAGACTGGACACTATCCACCATGGAGGAATGGTTGGTGAAATTGATAGAACTTGCTGAGATGGCCAAACTGACTTCTTTGATTAGAGAAAGGTCATTACTGACATTCATCAATGCCTGGATGATTTTGGTTTTCTTATGGTTTTGATGATTACAAAGAATAGGTTATAGAAAGGCAGGAATTATGATGTAATCTTAGAGAAGCTTGATTAGAATTGTATGTATAACTGCCGAGAGGAAGATCGGAAGTAATTTCTTTATATTTCTTTTCATGTTTTCTGTTCTTCTATTTTCTCTTTCTTTTTTCTATCTCCTTTTTTCTTTGTCTCTTTTTTCCTTTCTTTTCTCATTCACGTTTACTACTTATTTATTTAGCAAATTTATATAGCCGCTCATCTCACTGAAGTGACTCTGGGCAGTGTACAACTATAAATAAAACAATAAAACAATAAATAAAAACAATAGAAAAATATAAAAAAACCAATAATAAATACTGTAAAAAAACAGAAATACAAACCATAGGGGAAGGGAGAATAAAAATGGTCCCCTCAGCAATGGAGGCATCTAAGCAAGTCCCCGGTTCCCTAGGAGCCCCAGGGCTGATCACATAAACAGGTTTTGAAGGCCTTTTGGAATAGCAAAAGGGATGGCACTGATCTAATCTCAGGAGGAAGGATGTTCCATAAGGCGGGTGCCACAGCAGAGAAGGCATGCCTCCTGGGACCTGCCAAATGCAGGTCCCTAGCCGATGGTACCTGCAGCATGCCTTCTCGGCAAGATCTGATGGGGCAGGCTGATGTAACTGATGTAATTCAGAGTGCTGTTTTTAACCTTTAAAGCCCTATATGCCATGGGACCAGGTTACCTAAGGGACTGCCTCTTCCCCATGTATTCAACCCGTCCCACCCGATCACACAGAGGGGGTATGCTTCGGACCCCCTTGGTAAAAGAACTCTGATTAGCGGGGTCCAGAAGGTGGGCCTTCTCTGTTGTAGCCCCCACTCTTTGGAATATTCTGCCTCCAGAGGTGAGATTGGCCCCCTCACTTCTGGCCTTCCGGCGGGCCTTGAAAACCTGGTTCTGCCACTTGGCCTGGGGTGGGGAGTGAGTACATCAAGTGTGGGGATGGCTAGCCCCATAGAGGCCTGCTGTCTTCACCCCCAGATCCATCATCTTCTTGAACTTTCTCCTTTTTTTAGTAATGTTTTGTTTAAATTTTTAGGTTTTATTATTTATATATATTTATGGTTTTAATGTTTTGTGTGGGCCGGCCAGAGTCCCCCATTGCGGGGAGATGGACAGGAAGAAATTTAATAAATAAATAAAATAAACAAACAAACTGGGGAGAGGCGGTCCCTTCAGATAGCCCAGTCATATGCCATGAAGGGCT